CAGCAATGGCCTCTGAACGTTGATATTTAATTGAAATCTCATAGGTTTCCTGCCTGTAGATTTATCCATATAATTCTGATTGGGTAGATAAAGCACGTCTTGTTTACCGGTCTTTGGCGCTACATAACAAGTAACCCAGTCAGCGCAAATGGCGAGCTCTTATCAAACTGTCACTCAAGTGCACTATAGGCGCCTAACAAATTATTACATCGTTGATAGTTTGTGATGTGATTAACCTGGGTTACTTTTACGATTAAAAAGCACGATCGTTTAGCGAACAAGCCAATGGCTCACTCTTGCCGGCAAGGACAAAGTTATGGAGAACGGCGAATGGTAAAGTCAGCAAAGCACGTGATATTCTGGGTTGTTTTACGTCCGTCACACAAATCATGTTATTCCCTCGTGGAAATGTCAGTTACTGTCAGAAATAACAAGGATAGTTCATGTGCTTTGCTTTCATTTCAACTAAATTTTGTGAAGCAACGGCTCTCGAGTGCACCATCCAATCATACTAAAATCTGTTTGCTTTCGGGCTCCAAAATACATAACTGTTGATTTCACATAATTAGGTTAAGTTGGTCATCCAATTTGTGCCTTCACTGTGAATTAATTCCCTGGGTTGCGTACCAATAAACGGCACTCCAAGTTCTCTGTTTTCTTGCGTCACCATCTAGAACCGTTTATACGTGTTCACATAAATTTTATCGTTCTCACAAAACTGTTGGTCCCAAAAAAGGCAAAAACAGATTACTAAGTCTTAAATTGCCAGCATTATTGCTCCCAATCAAGAAGAACGATCTCGTCAGCTTTTCGGGAACTACACACCTCTACGGCAACCTCTCACCTACAGCTGTTGGGCTCGTGACTTAAAAAGTGTAAAATATTTCAGGGGGATACATGACTGGTAACGTAATTAGCCCGACTGTTCATTAGTAGACAAGTATTCCGACATTGTCAATGTCGGAGTGATGTTTCGCGAGTCACACGCGAATGAAATGTGATGACATATCACTGCCTGCTGCGGAGAACAATTTACACACACAGATGTAT